TTGCCCATGGCAGGGGGTTGGACTTGATGATCTGCTCAGGTCCCTTCTGACCCTACCAACTATGAAACTATGAAACCTCTATCCTGCCTGTTTACTCAAGCCTGTAATCTGGGCATAGTATTCAACTTTGGCCTCACATCCTGTCTAATACTAAGTCTTGCTGAACTTTTTTCTCCAATACTTTTGGAGAAAAAAGGTTGCCATAAGATGTGGCCTTTCCCATCTATCCACAACAGTCAAAATTCTCATCACCTTGTGTCTTGACTATTGCAATATCTCCTTCTGTCCTTGGAAAATGCAAACATGCCCTGCTCATATTTGTTCAAAATGCTGCTGCGAAATTTGTTTTGCTGGCCCGTTACTTTAACTGTCTCATCCCCACGTTGGCTCTCTGTTCTGTATTACATCAAACATAGCTGACTCGTCTACACGTCCAACATCCTTCCCAGCCTTTCCCACCCTCCTCATTATCTCTGTTAGTATCCAGAAGTCTGCTCCCATCTCATCATAGCCAGCCTCCACTGCCCATTTGTTAGGTTTGTCAAACAAGCACCTTCCCACTTCCATGCTGTGTCTCACACTTGTGAACATAGGCACAGCTGCCACCCTTAAAACTCACCATTGCCAAGATGCCTACAAAAATATGACAATGGTTGTTGTTGGTGCGGGGAGATCATATCTGATTATACTGTCTCACTATTTCCTTGTAACCCCTCATCTTCTTCCCAATTGTCTTACACTCAGCTTGTAAATTCTGGGGTCATCTATTGTTCTGTTTGTGCAGCATCTAACACTGTGTGGTCTTGGTCCATGACTGGGGTTCTCGGGTGCCATAGCAATACAATCAGTAGAACATTTCTGACCTCTATGGCACTCCATCCATGATAACTATTGGCAAGAGCCACCCAGGTAAGACTCGTTCTTCCTGAGATCTCCCACCTCCTCTATCTGCCAGTTGCTCTAAAGCATTAAAGTTCAGAGATTTCTCTTTGCTGCATCAGATTTGATGCAGGTCTGGCCAGCTGACCCGGGAATCCCTGTATCTCATTCTCTGGGATCTGCAGTGAGAATGGGAGAAGGGATTTTTCAGGCTAGTCATGCCATCAGCTTTATGAATTTGATAAGACTCAAGTGAGCTGTTTGTCCAGTTACCACAGCAACTCACAGGCTCCTAAACCCATGCGGCTGGGAGGTGAGGCTTTGTGGTGTTACCACCTGGGGCAGGACCCGTGTGTCAGAGGATACACTCAAGGGCAGAGCACTGCCAGACTCTCTTGGCTCCTGGCACCCCACTGAAGACAGCATCTAACTGCAACTCTGTGAGTACTCAAGTGACGAGCACGTGCCTTGCGTGAATTCTTACCCGTGCTATGGAAACTGGGGCAGGTATCATCTGGAGCAATGATTCTGCCTTAATTACTCTGTATTTAATGTGGAAAGCAGGTGGAAATGGGGGTATCTGGAGGGTGCTTGGGTTAGAAGCAAGGGGGTGGCAATGAGCTCCATCCCAGGGTGCTTTGGGTATGCTGTGGGTGGAGTGTGCATTGAAGTGCTGTTGAGCAGTGCTGGACACTTTTGTGGTGCCTTGGAATAGGGTTTGACTTTGTGCTGCACTGATGGAATAAGCAGCAGGGATCTGCCTTCTGGGTACTCACTGCTGGCACTGGAGGCGATTGTGCTTTTTCAGTCCTGAACTCTGCCAGCTCTCTGTCCCCCTGACCCTCCACAGCTCCAGCTAATCTGGCCCTGACCTCCCCCCTCAATTTGGCTGGGCCGCCTCAATCGTGACCTGCAGCCCCCTTTCCTGCTCCTCAGGACATGCCTGCTGTGGGGGAACTCACCCCACAGTGCAGTCAGCACATCTCCGCTCTGACATGCAGCACCTGTCACTCCTCTCCTGGGCTGAAGCCTCTGTAACTCTGTTGCAGACCCTCTTTTTAGTTGAAGGGAGGTTTTTTGGAGTTGCTAATTCTGCTGTGTAACTGGGTAAATAGATAGCTGTTAAGTAATGCCAGGTCCCACCCACCAGTTGTGCGTGCTGCCTCAGCATAGCGTTTTGCTCCTACCAGTCTGGGTTGCAGGTCAGGAGACACCAGACAACATTGGAGCTGCCAGGGTGGCTGAGAGCAACGGAGTGTTGTAACGAGCACTGGGGACCCTGCTTTGCAGACTGATGTGTCAGGATGGCAGCAAAGAAGAATTGGACAACGCAGAATGGAAGTGCCAAGGTGAGTGGAGGGGAAAGAGGTGGAGAACCAAAGATGGATGGTGTGATAGACCTCAGCTGGACCACCCCAGCTTGAGGGGGTGGGGAGGAGGTTTCTGATGCTGCCAAGAAGTGTTTGAGTCAAAAATCACAGTGCCTTGTGTTTCATTGGAAAAAAAAGTTTGCATCATGTTTTCATTAGACCTGGAACTGGAGCAATAAGGTATATCTGTCAGAGGGAAACAAGGACCTGTAGCAAACTTGGAAACTCAATAGTGCAGAGTCCAGAAACAATCTCAAGTGTGTCCTCACTTGACAACCATGATTTGCCTATCAGCAACAGAGGCTCACGTAGCTGGTTGTTTGTACCTTATCAGTATTTGCAGCATGGGCTACATACCCTCAGCTGTCATGTTGTGAATAACCAGAGCCACTGAAATTGCCCCACTGAAGAACTTACATGGTTGCTGGTTCCAGTTCAGATTCGAAATACCATCAGTTCCTATGTTTATTGTATTTACAGAGCCATAACCATGCTTGGTCACCAGTGGGACAACAACTCAGACATAGACTGTCCCCATTTCTCTCACCTGGTGATCACCTCATCCTCTTCTATTGATTTGCAATATGCAGTCCTGAAACAGTGCTCACATTAGAGCCACCATTTTGAGAGATGATGAGCCCAGCTAACCCCTCAAATCCAGGCAACTGGAAATAACCCTCTTCTTTGTAACTTTCTCATGCTCCTCCTTTGTAATGACCCTCCTTCTTTGTAACATCTAAATGCTTAGACACAGGAGTTGAGGTAGATGTCATTTACTTGGATTTTAAGAAGGCCTTTGATACAGTATCTCATCCTATTCTCATAAATAAACGGAGCGTCTGTGATGTAGATGATTGCATGGTCAGGTGGGTGGCAAATTGGCTTAGGGGTCGCACCCAGAGAGTGGTGGTGGAAGGGGTGATATCGACCTGGAAAGATGTGGGCAGTGGGGAGCCACAAGGCTTGGTCCTTGGACCTGTGCTGTTCAATGTCTTCATCATTGACTTGGATGAGCACATGGAAAGCATTCTGTCCAAATTCACAGATGATACCAAATTATGGGGTAAAATTAACACACTAGAGGGTAGGGAATGAATCTAGGCAGATCTGGATAGGTTGGGAAAGTGGGCAGAACAGAACAGGATGGAGTTCAACAAAGACAAGTACAAAGTGCTGCACCTAGGGACAAGGTAGCAGCAATACACTTACAAGCTGGGGGATGACCTCAGCAGCACAGCGTTGGAAAGGGATCTTGGAGTCATAGTTGACTCCAAGAAGAACATGAGTCGTCAATGTGACGAAGTGCACAACAAAGCTAACCACACTTTATCATGCATTAGCAGGTGCATGACTAACAGGTCCAGGGAAGTGATACTTCCTGTCTATGCGGCACTGGTCAGGCCGCAGTTGAAGTACTGCATCCGGTTTTGGGTGCCGCCCTTCAAGACGGATTTGGACAACCTCGAGAGGGTTCAGAGGAGGGCCACTCATATGGTTAGAGGCCTGCAGGCAAAGCCCTATGAGGAGAGATTAAGGAACCTGGATCTCTTCAACCTCAGCAAAAGAAGGCTGAGAGGTGATCTTGTGGTCCCCTACAAGTTCATTTGGAGGTGGGGGTGGAGAACAGCAAGGAATAGGAGATGTGCTGTTTGCCAGGGTACCCCTTGGAGTAACTAGGAACAATGGCCACAAACTGACAGAGGGTGGATTTAGGTTAGACATCAGGAAGAACTTCGTTACGGTTAAGGTTGCCAGAATCTGGAATGGGCTTCCAAGGGAGGTGGTGCTCTCCCCTACCCTGGGGGTCTTTAAGAGGAGGCTAGACAATGTACCTAGCTGGGGTCATCTAACCCCAGCGCTCTTTCCTGCCCAGGGCAGGTGGTCGGACTCAATGATCTTCTGAGATCCCTTCCGACCCAAACATCTATGAATCTATGATCAGCTTCATACACTGTGTTGTCATCTAAATTAGATGTGGGGCAGGGAGACAGGCAGAGCTTAAGGGATTTCCTTGTTCGTGTGACCATGAAATCCTTGCTTCACCTAGGAACAACGTTCTGACACTGTTTTCAAATCTGAGCTGAGTTTATGTCTAAGAATTAATATAATTAGCCCAGCTGGGCTTCCCACAGAGCTCACCCAAGCCAGACCATGCTCAAAGACCTGCATACGTGGTGCCCTACCCCTCAGACATGTCTCTAAGGTGCTCAAGGGATGGTTCTGCACAGTGTGGAGCTGGTTTGAGTCTTTACAGATTGTCCCATTCACTTCTGTTCTATCCTGGTTCTTATCTCTCCCCTGCACTTTGTCGATAGGAAATGCTAGAGGTAAAGAGGAAGGTCCCAATGAGCGCAGGAAGACATGGGTCAAACAAGCACTGCTTTCTGTCTGCTGCATGCCCTTCTGCAGTGGGAGTTGTTGTGGGCCTGGCAGTGGTAAGGACTGGAGGGACTTGTGCAGTTGTTGCTAGATGAACAGGGCCACTGTCATTTCCTTTTCCACGTTATTGGTTGTTCACTGTGCCCAGCCCCCTACCATGCTCTCTTTTTGCCACACACAGGAGAATGTGCTGCAGAGGGTCTTGCAGCTTCCAGTGGTGAGTTCAACCCAAGAGAGCCTTCAGAGGACGTATGCCAGCACCAAAGAGGCACACCCCCTCGTGGCTTCGGTGTGTGAGGCCTATGAGAAGGGCGTGCAGGGAGCTAGCTCGCTGGCTGCCTGGAGCATGGAGCCTGTGGTGCGCAGACTGGAGCCTCAGTGTGAGTCTGTTGGGATCTTTCCAGCTGTGGGGCAGGAGGGTGCAGGGCACTGGAGAAGGGAGTGTGGGAGTGAGGGATTACCATGCCTGGGATGCTGAGGCTATGAAATTTCCCCTGCCTATAAAACAAGGCTGCCTTTGGGTGGTGCTACCTTACAGCCAGAGCACAGGCCTGGGATCCAGGATGGACAGGTTGAATAGCCTTGCTTTACTTCTTCAATAGCTGGGGTCAAGTCACTTAACTGCTCTGGCCCTGTTTGCACATGTAACCCTGATGCCTTGCTGAAAGGGATGGGGGCGGTGCAGAGAGAAGAGCTGGGCTCATGTCTGTGAGCACCTGGAACATGAATGCACTCATACATGTCCTAAGTGTTTCTCACATATTCTTAGGTAGGTGAGACCTGGGTTTCAAGCTTTGGCTGGGCTAATAAAAGTCACTAGAGATCTGTACCTATTATGGAGAGGGAAGGCATAGGTCAGTCCTCTCTCCAGGGACCAGCTGGAACAGCAGAAGGTAATCTGGGCTGGCAGCCAGGCTTCCCTTTACCAAGCCTTTTTAGCAGGGCCTGTCAACAGCCTTATATTAGCCTCTCTCCTCCAAAGGAGAACCCCATCCAGAAGTGAACTGGGGAAAAAGAAGAGAAGGTTGGGACAAGGTCTCGTCTGCAGCTCCTAGTTTACCCCAGTTCCCCCACACTAGAGGGAAAAGCCTATATGTGAGGAGAAGGAGTTCAAAGCTCAGCCTGAATCCTGAACACTGCCTCCTGGTTATTCCTGGTTACCTTTCCCTCAGCTCATGCCTGTGACTTGCCAAAGCCATGGCCAGAGAGCAACAAACCCCAGACCCCTCTAGCCTCCTTCCGGAGAGCCACTACCCAGGCAAGCATCTTTCTTAGTAGCCCACATGCCCTCACCTTCTCACGGCCCAGCCCCAGCACAGGTAAGGACTGAAGGTCTTGAGAGCCTTGGGCCTTAGGTGTTGCTTGACAGTAGAGAGAATTAACCAGGTGGCCCCCTCTGACCAAGGGGGCCAAGCATGTCCTACATGCCTCCCTAGGACGCTGGCATTAGGTGAAGGTGGAGGGGTGCTAAGGCTGCCCTCCATGAAGCCATGGGAGGGGACAAGTACTAGTCCTCTAAACCATATGAATTTGCCATTCTGAAAATGGCACCTCTAGCATCACAGCACCACCGCTTAGCACAGCTCTGGGGCCACACATTTGGAGAGGCTGCCCCCAACTGCACCCTCTCATGGATCTGAGCACGCTCCCAACCACCAAGCTAATGTCTATGCCTTGTCTGGTTCAGTCAGTGCTGCCAACACCCTGGCCTGCCGGGGCTTGGATCACTTGGAGCAGAAGATCCCTGCCCTCCAGTATCCAGTGGAGAAGGTAAGTCAGACACTCTGGCCCTACCCCTACTCACCCTCTGCCCACTCCACTGACATACTGGAGGAATGCTTTATTTCTGTGGGACAGGGGACAGTACCCTGGGTTCCTGAAGCCAAGGAGCAGTAATTGGGCACTGTTGGGCTGTTCTGAGGCTAATAGTGCAACTCTGAGGAACAAGCCCCTGAGGGTCACCCAGCAAGGGGTGAACATGGGGATGTGGGCTGGGGTCAGCATAAGGCATTGACCAGTAGGGTCATGTCACACCTGCTCAGCTGCACCTGAGGCCAGGGTTCCCTACAATCTGTTGTCCCCCAGGCATCTCTGTGGCCCTTCAGACAGGGGCGGTGTTCCTCCCCACAGAGCTGCTCTAGCTATCTCCACAATAGTCTGGGCCTTAGTTCCAAATGCTCACTGTGGCCTCCCCACAGTGAGACCCCTCTAGCTGACTGGAGCACAACATCAGGGTCTCTTCCATCTGTCCTGCTGCAGATTGCATCCGAGCTAAAGGACTCCATCTCCACCCCTCTCCAAAGTGCTAAGAGCACCATTGGCAGCTCTGTATTGGGGGCCCTGGACAAGATCCTGGGGCTGGCTGCTGAGGGCTATGAGCTGACCAGGAGCACAGCAACAAGCACAGCAGAATATGCCTGGAGCAGCCGGGTCAGCCAGATGGCAGCCACAGGGGTAGACACAGCTCTAGGGAAGCTGGAGAAGCTGGTGGCATTTCTCCTACCAGAAGAGGACTGTCAGCCAGGTAGCCCTGCCTCTCTAAGGGCATATGGAGAGAAGGTTGCCCCAGGGAGGGGCTAGGTACCATGGGCTCATATGGCAGATTTTCTTTTTGGGCAGACCCAAGGTCAGATCTGAGTGCCATGAAAACTGCTTTGGTGGAGGCTCTGCCCTATTCAAAGCAGAGTCAAGAGTGTTTGTTACTGAGGATTAGAATAACATGGGGAAGGGATGGTTCTCAGGCCAGGGGTGCGGGCAGCACTGGGTGAGGGCTGCAGGACCTGATTGGCAGGGAGGGGTGAGGAAAAGGGTCCTGCAAGTCAGGACTGGGTGGCACTGGCAGAGGTGGGTAGAGTGCTGCTACTGGAGTAGAGGCTGGGAAGGGGTGGGCTTGCATCCTGAATACCTTCCCTCTTTCTGGGCAGACAATGGTTCCCTCGCCCCTAAGTGACAAACACTGCCCCCTGGTATCCCTGTTGGGTGTTGGGTTGATAAGGAGAGTCAGGGAGTGACCTGGGTTGTGTCTGCCCCGTGCAGGCACCCAGCGGAGTCTCCAACCAGCTGCTGATCTTCCCACAAGGTGGCCCTGTCATCCCGGTCAGAGGCAGGCTCTCCTAGCATAGCAACGCACAGCCCTAGGCACGGATGATGGGGGCAGGTGGAAGGATGTGAAGGGGCTTCTGAAATGAAATGTCAGGAGGGAGAGGGCATTACTGAGCAGCGTGGGATCCACTCCATGGCTGGGAGAGTCAGGGTCACTTCAATGCCAAGACCCACAAATGCTGGAGCCCCAGGGCAGTGGCTGTTGAGAGCCTGGGCGATTTCCCAGGAAAGATTGGAGTAATGGGGGAGTCCCAAGCAGAGCTGCCCATGGACAGGGGGTGCAGAGCCAGCTGCAGGCTGTGTGTGCTTTTCTCTGTACTGGTGACTAGCCTGTTCCCATGTTGCTCTGCCCTTTTGCCATTAGCTCAGAAGCCTGCAGCGGCACAAGGATCAAAGGCAGCGGCCTCCCAGGCACAGCCAGAGCTTGGCACTCTCCACAGGATTGGCACTCTGACCAGCACTGTCTCCTACCATGCCTACCAGCAGGCTGCCCGAGCCATCCAGCACACAAAAGCCAAGGGGCAGGAGCTGGCCCTGTGGATCCCAGGTCTGGTGAGTGCCCCTGCTTCGCACATCCCAGCAGCCTTGAGCCTGCTGCCATGTCTTGTGGGGATATCAAGCAACAGCTTGGCCCCTGGTTTGATCAGTCTCAAAATGTGGGTCAACCCCCATCTCTGTACAAAGCCTCTGTGTCTCAAGCCACACAAACGATAGCTATAGTTTAAGGCAGGCCTTAGATTAGCTCTAGGTACAGTGTGTCCTTGCTACATGGCAGAAGGCACAGCTCTGCCCCCCCATCTCCAAAATAGTTTCTAGGGCTACACTTACAGAGACAAGTAGCACTCCAAAGTAGCAGGAATACATCTGCCTGGTTGTCATACTGCTGTTCCTGAGGAGCTCCAAGTGCTCTTATTCAGTTCAGCCTTGTGGTCCTCTGTGGGGTAGGATGTGCTTTTTCTTTCTCTTTCACAGTGGGCTGCCTGGGAGCTGATTCCTCAAGTGCCTGAGGTTTTTGCTCTGGGTACAGGTCTGAAGCTCCTGGGTAATGTGGTAAGACAACTAATAATGTTGGGGCCAGGAATGTAACCCAAGTGTCTGGCCTCACTGTGCCTTCCTGACTGCTGATGCCTCGCCTGCACTTCCCTCTCCTGGAGGTGGGACAGCATGGTTCAAGGTCTGACTCTTTAGATCAGTGTTTTTCAACCTGTGGCCCTTGGACCCCGGGAGTCTGCAGACTTTGTCTAATGGGTCCGCAAAAGATGACCAATCAAATTGACTATATGATCAATCAAAGTATGTGAATACTCACACAATTCAAGGGGTCTGCACCTCAACTGAAACTTTTTTAGTCTGCAAAAGAGAATAGGTTGAAAACCATTGGTTTAGAGCATTTTAAAGGAAGATTAGAGTAATGGTTCTTACTATTATAAATGGTTTTCTTCCATGCTCCAGATTAAGAGTGAGTGGGCCCCAGCCCCTGGGTCCCTCTGGCCCATATTTTGCTGCCAGCTGTTTAATCCTCCCAGGCAGCCAGGGTCCTGAAGACAGGGCCCCTGCATCCTCTGTGGCATCAGCACACACAAGACCCTGGCCCAGATGAATTATTTTTAGCTGGCTCTACATGGATATTGTTGATTAATGCCCCTGATGTGACCTCCTTCCCAGAGCAAACAGCCCAGCGGAAACACTGATAACATCAGGAGCAGGAAGACTCCCCCATCTCGCCTTTCCCTGAAGCTCCCTTGGTGCTAAGGCTGCCTTTCCCAGGCCTGCTAGAGTCCCAGAGCCTTCTCTGCCACCATCCTAGGCATGTGCATGCCTCCTCTGGCTCTCCCAACATCATGTCACACCCCTAAAGTCCTGGACCAGGGTGGATGTTCTGAAAAGAGTTGAGGCATCTGTTTTGGCCCTGGCCCTGGCCCCGACCTGATTTCATCCCCAGGAATAATGTCTCAGTCTCCTAACACCCTAACTCTGCTTCAATGGCGTTCCTTTCTGGGGCACAGCTGTGCTGTACTTTCCACCCCGAGGGGGCTGCCTCTCAGTGCTGGGTGAATACTCCCTGCATATCCATCAGCTCTACCACAGAAACAGAGGGAGCAGAGCTGAGAGAGCCAGTGTGGTACTTTGTTATCCCACAGAGTTCAACTTCTGTGGTGGTGCCTGAGCCCCACAAGCCACAGTCCCACAGCCCCTGAGGTGCTGGGCCAGGAGCACCAGGGAAGCTGAGACATGAAAAGAGCTGGGGTCATAGTGTACCCTAATACAGCTACCCCATCCTTGACTCTGGACCAGGGTCTTTTTGTTGTGCTTAGCTTTCCTGCAGGAATTCAGAGCCAGGCACTGTGTGAGGGCAGTCTGACCTCTCTTCTTCCTCCTGCCCATCTGCCATTGCCACAACCAGCTGCAAAACACTTGGGCTTGGGAACCAGTAGCAAGTGTGAGGGATGAGAGGTGGGAACCTGGCCAGGGGAACCCCCAGTATGAGCAGTGGCTCTTTGCTCCCTCTGCAGGGTGGTATGGCCAAGCAGAGCACAGCCAAGGCCCAGCAGGTCCTGAGTGATGTGCAGCATGCAGCTTCAGCCTGGCTGAGCAGGCGACAGAGCAAGGAGCCAGAACAGCAGCCAAAGAAGGAGATGAAGAAAAAAGAAAGTGAAGCCAGAGAGGTACGGAGATGAGCAGAGCCATGAGCCCAGCCCAGATGGCTCAATAGGCAACCAGGGAAGGGCCCTACAGTCCCTGCCCCCCTCTCCCATCCCCCCCAGCCATGTTCTTGGGCCAAGGCAACTGTGGTGGTTCATAGCACATCCCCTCAGGGCTCTGGGCCATTGGGGAACAACTGAGGCTTTGGGGGAGGACAGGATCCTCCTCCAAAGGGATTTGCTAACAGAGCTGAGCAGAGAACCTAGGAGCCTTGGCTCCCAGCATTGTGCTCTCACTGCTAGATAACACTACCTCAAGTGAAACTGGTTCTGTTTTGAAGTCACTCTGTGCCCCTGGCCAGACTCCCTTTGTCATATATTTCCAGGAACCAGGCTGAGAAGCCCTGGTAGGCTCCTCCATCCCTGCCTCCTTCCCTCAGAGGCGGCCCAGCCCCTCTACTGGCATCTGGCACAGGGATGTTGGAGGCCTAGGGTTTGTGCTAGCAGGGTGACAGAAACCTAAGTCCCTGTGGTCTCCTCAGCTGGTAGAGAAGCTGGAGTGACCCTGTCCCACAGTTTCCCCCTGGAAAAGGGAGGTGGCAGTCTCCATGCCAGGCAGATACAGAGGCCCAGCCTCTTTTTGTCTGTCTGAACTGTGTTTGGTGCCCAACAGGGCTGTGGGGTGCTTTGAAATCCCCGCTAGCTGCCTGCGATGCTGAGGGACTGCGCAGATCGGAGCAGGGTGGCTGGGGTGTCGGGATACCCTGCTGACATCCCCTTTGCCTGAGGGTGTCCCTTGCACTCAGGACTTGGAGCGTGGTGGTGTGGAGCCACAACTGCAGTGCTGAGAGCCAAGGGACACTTGGAGGCTGGCTCCACTGGCCTTGTGTTGCCGGAGTGGGACTGAAAAGCTGGCTCAGGGCTTGCTGGAGTGGAAACTGGTCTGTCGGGACAAGGAAGAAAGGAAACTGCCAGCAGGGGGGTGCAGATCAGCACCTTGCACCTCTGCCCCCACTCCCAGTGCAGTAGTGGGGAGTCAGACGGATAGAAAGGTAGCCTCAGCCTGGAGACAGGCAGCTTGGCCTCTGGAGGCTGGGAGTGAGGAGTCAGTGAAGTGCAATCTGCTCAGTGCTGCCGTGGCTCCAGCAAAGCCAGTGACACTGGTTCCTCACCTTCCACACGGCCTTGGGCTGCTGGGGGCGGCACACTCAGAGGCAGAAGGGGTAATGGGATAGGGTTGGAGACCAGAGGGGATACCTGGGGCCTGCAGCTCTCCCACAGGGCTGTGCTTGGCACTGACTGGAGTGGCTGGGCTGGTTTCTCTTTGCAGAAAGCCGAGAGCAGCAAGATTCCAAGCCTAGTAGGCAGCATGGCCCAGACACTGCAAGCTGCCTATCTCCCCGCCATCTCCAGCATGAAGAAGGTCCCCTCTGCTACATGGGATGCAGCTGGGGGACTGCTCCAGCTCACCCCCAACAAAGCAGCTTCCATAGCCAGAGAGAAGGTGGGCGCTCTGGGGGGAACCCTGCGCAGTGCCTTGGGCATCCTGTCCCACTATGTGCCGGTGAGTTTATCCTGTACTCAGAGAGCTCTTTGTCTGCACTGCAGGAGAGAGGGGAACTGTATGAGGGGTCTGGGGCCAATGTTCCCACCCATCTGGCTGGAGCCTCTCATGGCCTGGGACCTGCCTCTTCTCCCACCCCAGATGGGAGCCCTTCCCTGTTGGGCCTCCTTTCTGGAGTGTGAGCAACCCTCTAGCAGCTAAGAGATGTGACCCTGCAGTGCTGACCACACTGCCAGCCCAAGCCTGTTTTGCTCAGAACATGCACAATCCATGGGAAGGAGGCTGGAGCCTTCCCTGGTCTTGGGGAGCATCATGAATGATGGACCCCAGGGTCTGCCTACACTGGACATGGTGCAGGAGGGTGCTGTGAGGCAGCCCAACCCTGGCCTGCAGCCCATACTATTCTGATCCTGGCTTCTGTGCACATGGCTCTGCTAATGTCCTTTATTGGTGCTGCTCTCAGACTTTCTGAGATCTCAGCCTCTGAGAAATTCCTGGGAAGGTGAAAGTTCAGGGAGAGGACCCCCACCCCACAAACACACACACAGAGCTGATTCCTGCTTCCCTCCCAGGGCTCCCAGGACATTAATCATGTGTCCATGGAGACACAGAGTGCCCCATGAATGACCGCTGGGTTCCTCTCTCTGCCCCCTGCTAGGACCTGTCTGGGGTCAGGCTGCCCCTAGCTGCAGACTTTTCCACTGAAAGGCAGGAGGGACTGAGGAGCATAGACAAGGACCCAGAACTGGAGGGAGGAAAGGAGAGGAGAGAGGGATTGCAAGGGAGGGAAGTGGAAAGATCCCTTTGAGGGTGACAGTGGCATGATCAGATCAGCATCTTGGCACATAGAGACTCAGACAGCAGCTCCCAGAGCTGAGCCCCGGCGATGTGGCAGGCATCAGGCAGGTGCCTAACTGGTCATTGTTTGTAAGGGAGCCAATGGGAATCCATGAATAAGGGGGTTCCTTGCATGTGGAGGTCCTTCAAAATGTCTACGAGAGACCAAGGCATCTGGGGTCCCGGTAATTCTCCAGGGTTCTGCCAGCGCAGTTTGTTGGGAGAGGGCCGGAGGTTGCCCTTCTCTGGCTGCTCTTTGTAACACTGGCCTCATGAGCAGCTTTTCCTACCCTACACAGAAAAGATCGCCCATGGAGATGCTGCACCTGAGCTCTCTGTGAGCTCCAGGATGGCTCATGTTAAATACAGGCCAGATCCTACTCAGCACTTTGTCCCTGTGACTATGAACTCCTGCCCCAGGTTGGGTACTCCATACGCCCCCTAGGCAAGGAGGGCTTTTGCCTTTGGGAGGAGACCCCAGGAGCAGACACACACCAAAACTACCTGTTCTACATCTTCCATCACAGCAGGAAGAGAAACTCCAAGTGAATGGGCCCTAACCCCTAGAAACCAAGGCCTGTGCAGCTAGGGGCAAATGGGCCTGTTCCTAGATGGGCAGCTAAGGTTCCCGGTGCTCTCCCGCTGATGAGTTGCATCTCCCTGTCTCTGGTGCAACTTTTTTGGAGACTGAATGCAGCTGGAGGGAGCCAGTCCAATTTAGTCCTTTGGGGGTCAGAGAAGCAGGTCCAAGTCACTTAGAGGCTTGGGACTGAGAACAGCCGATATCAAAGTCCCCTGGAACCAGAGGCAGGCCTGGAGATAATGCTGCCAGGCCAAACCTGCCTCCAAGCTCTGTTCAGACCAAAGGACCTGCCCCTGGTCCACCTCATCCTTGGTGGCTCTGACCATGCTCTGCTCTCCTTCTAGTCTAGTAGCTTCAGAGACCTGAAGTGACCAGTCAGGCAGTCAGTTGTGAGTAGGAATGCATGGGAGGAGGGGAGGTCATCCCACAGAGTACCTTGCTGAGAGAATGGGCTGGTGGGGCTGGTCTGGCTGCCCCCATCTCCCACTGTGCTGGGGGGAAGCAGGGAGGATACTGCAAGGCCAGGGAGGGCGTCTGCAGGAGCCATACTTTGCAGTCTTGGCATTCCTTACCCCCCAAGGCCCCTGCGCCAGCTCCCCAGCCTCCTCCCAGCCCTTTTGTTTGTGTGGGTTGGGTTTAACTACAGTAAAAGCCATCTCAGCCCTGCCTGGTGCTCAGGGATTTAGCTAAAAGGATTAATTCCCCCTGGGCAGCATGCTCCAGGTGGAAGCCTCTTTGGGATGGCAACTATGACCCCTTGACACTGGGCACCCACCAAGGGGAGGAGGAGCTTGAACCTGGCAGGGGGAGTGGGGGCAGGTGGCTGGGTCTCCTCCATTTCTGCTAGCAAATGGGGCTTTCATCGAGAAGCAGTCAGGGAAGGAGGGGCGAGATGGAAGGCTAAAGTTGCCCATCATCCTTTCTTTCCTCTAGCACTTTCCCTCCGGCCGCAGTACCAGTGAAATGCAGTCACCTCTGGAGAGGGGTCAGTGGGAGCAATGCACTGGGGCTGTGAACACCAGTGAGCCCCAACTTTGATGCTGCCTCAGCATAGATCTGACAGGAGCATGTGACTGTTTCCTCGGTACCCAGGCCCCCTCCATCAGCCAGTGCCTGGGGCAAAGCGGTGCTTGGGGCAGGGCAGGCTGTAGCCAGCTGGCAGTGAAGGGGCCACTCACTGTGGGCTGAGGGGGTGTTAACGCATGCACTCTTTTGCTGTTCAGCTCCCCAGCCTGCAGCTGAAGGAAAAAGAGACTCCATGTGGGAGCAAACCCATCCCTGGTCTGCATAAAAGAAAGGAGGGCTCCAAGCCAGAGACTCCCCTGGCCCAGGAGAAGGTCCTGCTGAGAGTTGAGTGGCGGGCCAGCCGGGGCCACCATCCCCTCTCCTTCCTGGATCTTGAGGATCCCCTCTTCCTGCAACCATTCCCCTTTCAGCGCCAGACGCTGCATCGGGCCCTGGCCTTAGAGCCTGAATACACAATCTCCCGCAAATCCACCTTCTCCCCCTACAGCAGCCGGAGAGTGAGCGAAGGTTTGCACCGCTTCTGTTCAGAGCCCATCTACACCAGGGCTCACTACAGCAGCCTCTATAGCACAGCCATCAAGAAAGACTGAGTGGGAGGGCTCCTGAGCCTGCTTGCTGCCTGCTTAGCATGTACCAGCCTACAGCCACTGTATGTTATGCTTCCCCTTGCAAGCAATGTGGCATTGGATTTAGCATTAAGATCCTACCAGTTTAATTTCCTAGATGTGCTCTCTCCCAGTGCATAGAGAGGATGGGGACTTGCTTGTCACCTCTGGAACTAGGGTCAGGTACAGTGCAAGGGCAGAAGGAGATTGAGTTTGAAGGTGCCTATTCCATCCCTCCCCTAACAGCAGTGTGGTTGTGGGGCCAGGGCATTGCTGTGACAACTGAACTGAAACAAAGGCCGACCTAGTAGGGAGACCTGCTGGGCAGTGAAAATGGAGGTAAGATGAGAGCAAGGGTTTGGTTTGTATCACAACCTGTCTCTTAAATGCATCCCACCCAGGTGAGGCACATAGGGCCATGCCCTTTCTGCTTCTTTCTTCCAAGAAGAGGTAATCAGAAAAGGCTCCAAACCTCAAATTCTGTTATTTTACAGTAGCCAAATTAAGAATGCAATGGCTGGTCTGTCCTGTGTTTGATGAAGGAGTTTGGGCTTTCAGATATATGTTGTGAGCCCTCTTGGGCCCAATTTAACAAACTACATGGTGGGTCTTTAACAAAAATAGATTTTCCCAAGAGTGCATTGGTCATCATAGTTAAATAGGCCGTGAGACATTTATCCCACAAACTACCCTGTAAATGAAGCAGACAGGCTGTGGGAGGGGGGCCCCTCATGCTTGCGATGGGGCTTTGAGAGCTATCCAATTGGAGGTGGTTTCATAAATGAGCAGGAAAACATAAGAAGAAACAATTTATCTTGGAGGAGAGCAGAGTAGCCCATAGAAGAGGGAGAAATGGAGCAAGTAGAGACCAGAGGAGAAAAAGAGGAAACGGAGAGAGTGGAGAAGGCCAGAGAGCGAGAGCTGAAAAGGGAAGGCACTGGGAGGCCTGGTTGCTTGTAGCTGATCCTTCTTCAACAGAAGTAATTGGCCATGGACCTTGTGTGGGTGGCAGCTGTGACAGGGACCTGTGTTCAACTTGAGGCCCCCTAATCAGAGCCACTGGCTCTTCAACTTCTCGCAGCAATAAATGTTCCCCACTTGCTTTCTACATGACTTTCTCATTTCTTCCATGTGAGTCTCAGGGACAGCTGCCTGGTACATACATGGGTCCTGAGTGACTGGCTGATCCTGGCACTGGAGAGAAACAGGAGAAGATAGCTGTGACCCCTACTCCTCCCCACCCCCCAAATTCTGGAGGTGGCTACATTAAACCAGCCCCAGGAGCTGCTCCAAGTTGTGCTCGTCTTTCTTACCCACAGGTTTGCAGGCAGGCTGCTGGGTGTGCTTTCTCTGGGGTGGAGGTAGTGGGGAGCAAATAGGGTGCGGCATGGTCCTGAGGCTTTGAGTTGGGTATTTTTGCTATCCTCCCAAGCCATGGGAAGGACACAGCCCAGTTTGGGTATAGCAGCAGCTGAAAGGAATCTGCTTCCATGCACAGCCCTTCCAGTGCAGGGCTGTGTGCACAAGGCAACAGTGTCTCTTAATGAAGAAGCATCAGAACCTGCATCAGGGCTCTGGCTGGCCGAGTAGCCCGGCTCAGGCTCATTTCTGTTGAGTTTCACCTGGATCAGGGCCCTCATTAAGCAGTAATAGCTAATGGAACTGGACCTTTCTGACTTGACCTGCTGGAGGAGACTTGGTCCCCCTACTAGCAGTCATCTGCCCAGCTCAGTGGGAACTGCCCGTGTGCCCCTCCTTTAGAAACAGACCCAAGGCTAGATCTACCCCCAACTGAAGAACTGGAAAACAGATAAAACATAGCAGCCATCTATCCTGGCCAGTGGCCAGTGCATCCTTGAGTGTGTGTGTGTACAAAGACCTGGTAACCATAGCACATCCACCGCCAGGGCTTGTGACTGGTGCTCTGCCCACCCTGCTGTAAATGGGTACCTGGTTACAGAATTTTCTACATGGGGACTCATGAAGGCAGAGCTGAGAGGATCAGAAGTCATAACATGCTGAGGGTGAATGCAGAGCAGTGCACAGGCACCACAGAGCAGATTGAGAAGTCCGCCTGGCTCATTTCCAGGCTGGTAAAGCAGCACACAGCTGTCAGAGCCAGCCTCAGAAAGCAGCTGCAAGGGCTTAGTTAGTCCGGGCTGCAGGTGGAGCAGAAAGAAAACACAGGTCTGCATGAAGCTAAAAGCTGCCAGGGCTAGCACATTTAAGAGACAATACTGTCTGCAGTCAGCAGAGCACACGAGAGCAAGATGGTTCACATCCCATCCTTTTACTCCCAGCCCGGATGACCCTGTGCCCATTTAAAGCTGTGCTGATGGGGACAGCTGTTTTGTGTCCAGAACAAGGCCTCCAACTCCTCCTTTCAAAGGCACAAACAGATGCTCTGACCACTCTGCTACCACACGCTGGCATGCAGCAGAGAGGGCTCTGGATTAAGGGGGAGGGGGTCAGGGCAGGAAGGTCTAACCTGAATGCAGAAAGTGCCTGGTGTTTCCGCCCTCATCATGGCAGACACCAGGGCAAGCTAAGTAAGAGCAGTCACCCTTGGGCACCCATTCCAACACACAAGACTCCCTTGCAGCAGACACAGCCACCAACAGCCAGGTGCTTCTGGCACAAGGGGATTTATTTAATTTACACACCATATCAGCACAGAAATTACTAGGTTTACAGCCACATCCTCTCATTTACACTCAGGAACTGTGAGGCACCAACATCACATGGCAGGAGCCTCCCAAGGCACTGGTGAAGGGCATGGGGCAGGTTGAGGGGAGCATTCTCTTCACATTCAGGGTGGAATGGGGCTTTCAGGAAGAAGCCAGATACCCAGATCCATTCAGACTTCAGCCCTTCCCCACATAGCTTCCTTCAACCCCAGGGGGTAGGCAAGCACTGAGCAGACAACCCAAGCCTCCTGAGAACCCAGGACAGATGCACCATATCTTGCTCCACAGTTCTGTGTCCCAGGAACCAGCCAAGTCACTGTATCTTGCCCCGTTTTACGTGTTTGGACAATATGTCATTTAGATGCCCGTTGTAAGTAAAAGACCAGGAGGAGAAGCTGGTTGGCAAGGGTAGCTCTAGGCACCTAATCACACCATAACAACCTGGTAACCAGTTAAGATTTCACAGAAGAGGAACGGAATGGGATGCTGGAGAAGGGCTTGGCCACAAACTCTAAATCCCAGCTGAAAATGCAGACATCTGAGAAGCCAAAGAGCATGGAAGAGGAGACTGCCACCTGCAATCAGCCTATGCAGATTGCTCTTCGTGTCTTTTCCAGAGCTACCTTAGCTCTGGAAAGGGCCAAACAGTAAAGGTACATCCTCTGGTGCCACCTCCAGGTGGGACTCTTGAGGCCAGGGTGCCCTTCCCTGCTCTATAATAGACTTCCTGAGTGACTAATCTCATATTGTTTCTATGTCCCTCACTTCCCTCCCTGCACAATGGGACTCCCCCGCCACATGTATCTGTTGTGAGGATGAACAGCAGACTGGGAACTGCTCACATGCTACAGCAGTGGCGTCAGAAACAGCCACAGGCCAAGTGTGTGTTCCCAATGACATAACTCTGAGGAATGGAGGGCTAAAAGGAAGAAAGCCACTGTCTGAGAAGGATGGCCACTCCTCCATCCTCAGTTGTCCTAGCAGGAGAAGGCAGGACAGCTGAGGGCCCATGAGTGCAGAGGGTGCAAAACCATCAAGAAGATACCTTGGAGTTTTTCAGTACTGAGAAAGTAGTTACATAACACAGTAAAACCAAGGGGCACCTAGATGTAGTAGGATGAAGACAGCTCAACACAATGGGGCCCCAACCCTGACAGAGGTCTCTGGAAGTTGCTGTATTATATATAATAAATAGGAACAGGGAAATATAGGAATTGAGGAATTATCTCCGCAAAGGAAAAGTGGGAGCTTGGGACATTTATAGCTCATCAGGGCAGTGTGCAAGTAATTGTACAGAAGTGCTCCAGCCCCCTGGGAATGGACAGGATGGTCTCCCAGGAGTCAATATGGAAAGGGTCTATGGCCAAAGGTTGCAGTGAGCCTATATTGCAGCAGGGGCAGTCTCCACCATCACCCTGAGGCTGGAGGCATTGGTGGGGGGGCAGTTTACTCATTCAAACATATGCCCCCCTCCATGGGCACTGGGGGATTAATTTAACAATGGAGACCAGGCACAGTGGCATTCCCACCTGAAAGCACATGGAGAAACAATGCCCAGGCTCCAACTCAGAGTGAGTCTGTTCTCTTCCGGGCAAACACAGCTGACATACTCTTTACGATGCCGCGGATCCCAGTGCCCCTCTTTGGTGCCAGCTTGGCCTCACAGAAGCGCTCAGCCAGCCCCTGGAAGACCATGAGTGACCCGTGATAGGCCTCAGCCGCAGAGACCTCATAGAACCCGCAGTCCACGGACAGCGCCAGGAGCCGCCCCTCCTCGCTGGAGACCACCCGCTGGTGATGCAGGTCCCGTTTGTTGCCCACAATGACAATGGGCACCTTTTCCTGGCTAGTAGCTTCCTTGGCTGCCTTAATGAACTGGACTTTGGGGTGCAGGATGTTGAAACTGGCACGGTCACAGATGCTGTAGACCAGGATAAAACCATCTGCCCATTGGACCCTCTTCTCCTCTGCAGAGCTTTCATCTGCTCCATCCTGGGAAGAGAGAAATGGGGCAGGGAGTTGGATATAAATCAACAAGCCACATATGGTGAATCTGGGGAGCAAGTCTGTGCTGAAAAGGGTCATGGGCAATGTTCCCTCTAAGGAGTAGCAGTCCATGAGCGCACTGCCTCGGTCCAGCATGGGACACTTATCGAAGGGGGATGGAGGCCGGAGGCTGGAGCTGGGGGCCAGAGGCTGGGGCTGGGGGCCGGGAACTGAAGGGTGGAGCTGAGAGGCTGGGGGCCAGGGGGCCGGAGGCTGGAGCTGGGGCTGGAGGCTGGAGCTGGGGGCTGGAGCCGAGAGGCCAGGGGCTGGCGCGGGCTCCTCCGGCTCCAGAGAAGTGCTCCGCTTCCCTGCATCAGGGCCAGGGAGTGGAGCACTTCCCTGGAGCTGGCGGAGCCCGCGCCAGCCCCCCATCCCAGCCTCCATGGCTGCCTTGCCTCACCTCAGGGAGGAGCCGCTGCCTGCCCCAAGTGAGGCTCCGCTGGCTCTGAGACACTGTGGAACGCGCCCACTGAACAGCAGACAGTTGGTAGTGGCCAGATCTGACCTGGAAACTCCAGCTTCCAGGAGGAGAGGGAGTCCGATCCTGCCCTCCATCAGCACAGGGGCTCCTGAATGCTGGACACCAAGTCACGGCCTTAAACTGAACTAACCCAAAGGGAAAGGTTTCACCTAATTTCCCACATCCAAACCAGCCTCTGATCTGACTGTCACCCTGGAGGGGATGGGATTCTTCTACTGGCATTATAGAAGAATGAGCTGGCATCATACAGCAATTCACTGCCCTTCTGTGCAAAGCATCCAGGCTCAAGACCAGCTAGATGGTTCTGGCTCCTTTTGGTGGCAAAGACTCAGCACCTCCCTGTCTTTGGGTAGGTTGTCAAGGGCTGGGGGTGAGGGAGGAACAGTAGCACATAACAGGACAGGGAACAAGCAGCTTCTAGCAGACCCTACCAAAGAGGCTAGAACAACAGGGAGCCAATTCCTGCACTGATGTAGTTTGGGAATGATCTTTACTGTCTCAAGTCCTCTCCGATTCAGGCAGGTGAAGCCATACCCTAGGAATCTCAGCTGTCTCCAAACAATCTGGCTGGCCCAATTGTGCTGGGAGACCAGCAGGAGCAATTATAGCTGACTGATGCCTCCAAATCCCAATTTGCTATTTGAATTTCTTAGCAAGGGGAAACAAACAGCTCTTCTTGGAGTAGAGATGTGTGACAGCAGCAGCAGCAGGGCTCTCTTACCTGTGAATAAGAGAAGTCCCAAATGTGGAAGAGGATCTCCCTGCCCTCCACAGCCAGGCTGTGGCTGTAGATGGATTCTGCCAACAAAGCACAAAGACCCTTCAGAGAGAGCTGTGTCCTCTCCTTGTGAGAGTCCCACTGCACCCAGCCCTTTCTCTCTGCTGCACACACACTCCTCTTTAGGTGGGGGACTGTTCAGGGTAAGGAGTAAGGCACCCACCACACACCAGTATGCTGGCACTGAGACCAGAGGGTCTGCCACGGAGTACCCCAAGATATCTGGATCTACCCACTCCTGTTGCCCTTGAGCCAGTGCACTTGCACCCGCATGCCTGCTAGCTGCTACCTGGAGCTCCCTCCATTTAAACCTGAAGCTTCCAAGCAACAAGTTCAACTCCCAAAGAGAGACAGGCAGCTGGGAAACAGCCAGATCCTGGAGAAAGAATTAGTTGCACAAATCAGGACCTTTGCAAAGTGGTGGATCTACATCCCACAAGGACAAGATGCTGGCACAGCACTTACTCGTATCTCCGTATTCCCCAATGAAGCGCCTGGTGAGGAAGCGCACAGTCAGGGCTGTAAAGGGAACAGAAAACAAGGAATTTAAATGAGTTTAGGTCCCTAGCAAGCCCAACTCAGCACCAGCCCAGAGCTACTTCCAGGCACCGGCCAATCCACTCTGCCCTGGGACATCCTCCACGTTAAGCTCTCACTGAATTTAGAGTGAGCGTCCTGTTTTTCCTTCTTTCCTTGTCTTTGTGCAGAGGATGAAGGGGTCAGGAACTCTCCCAGACCTGCATTACAAAGGACTGCAGCTGACAAGAAAGCTTTTTCACTTACAGACTATGCCACCCTGAGCTCCTGTGCTGTCAGGGGCTCCAGTCTGCTTCTTCACACTAAATCACAGATTTCTGAGATGCAACGAACTAGCCAGGTCCCATCTCTGTTAATGACCACACAACCCTACAACCTGCTCTCCAGTTTGAGTTTAAAAAGTCCTTGGACATGTAGTTCATGTCTCTTTCCTTGGAAGACTTCCACAGTTCACAGGCTCTTGTCTGAAAGCTTCCCCTGTCCCATCTGCTTTCCTGCTCCTGCCTTGGGGGTGAAGTGCTCACCTGATTTCCCCACACGGTCTGCTCCCAGAACTAGCACGTTTGCTTCCATTCTCTGCATGGCAGGACTGGGCACCTCAACCAAGGACTGGGGGTCAGGGGTGAAGCTGGCACTTCTGCGCAGAGGGATTCGGAGAACCATTTGTGGAGCTCTCGCTGCAGAGCCTGACACTCCTCTGCACTGCCGGGCTGAATGACGCCCGCCCCAGAGCAGGGGACAGTGATCTGCATGGGCCATACCACTCCCAGGGACGGAGGGGTGACAGCAAGAGCTGAAGGCTTAACCATTCTTTGTGAGATCCCCCAAATTAGAGACCAACTCTATTACCGGTCAAATCATCCTAAAAGAAAGCCCCTGAGCCGTGGTACCAGGGTGCTGGGAGGGTCCTGATGGGGACAACATGATGTTAAACTGTTCTCCAAACCAAACCCAACACTGGATCCTCAGCTGGGATGGGCACCCAGTCTCTTCTGCACTTCAGGCCTTCAGACCCCGTCTCTGGCCCAGCAGGCTGCCAGGCCTCTTGCTTTTATTTCAGAGCTGCAGCGTGAACAATGAGGCCTCCGAGCAGGGAGATAGGATTGTCTTTTGCCCTGCCCACAGTGCTCTGCCAATGTCCCTCCATCGCGACATGCAGGGTGCCCTGCTATTTCAGCACTAGCCCCATGACCTCAGTCATGACACGCAGCCCTGACCTCCTGCCATCCCCGCGTCCCCACTCCACATCACCCCAACTTCCTCTGCCAACACACTCTGTCCTGACTCTGCTACCCAAGAGCTACTCCACACTTGCAGGCAGGGGCTGCCAGCCATGCCACTACGTGCAATGCCTCTGCAGTGTGGAGAAACAACCACTGGCTGAGAGCACCAAACTCATTCTCTGCAAATTTAACCGGTTGTCCACAGTAGTCTCAGCCTGTGCCCCTGCCCAGGACCCTCTGGCCGGGGTTGGTACTGCAATGAGCAGGTCCCTGGCCCCAGCAAGGATGCTACTGTGGAGGCCCCTTTGTACCAAAGACACTGGCACTGCCTCAGTCTGGGGGGCTGGTAAGTTTACCTACCGTTCCCAGTCCTCTTGCACTCAACCCCACCTCTCTGACTCCCTCCAGTCACTTCCCCTCCAAGCTTTTCCCCACTCCTGCTACTGCATCAGCCAGGGTGGGGGTTTTTGCCTTCCTTAGAAGCACTAGGTGTTGGTTGCAGCCAAGGCCAATTGTGACTGGGGTGTGCCATGCTCCTGCTGGGACTTCAACCTGGAGATTGCTGGCTAGATAGTCTTGCCTTCTGCTCAGGGTCAGGCCGTATCTGGGGTCAGGAAGGAATTTTACCCCATGGTCAGACTGGTCTGGACTATATGGGGCTTTCTATCTTCCTCTGCAGTGTGGCCCTCTCCTTCAGATTTCTCCAGCATATTTTAACAACCTTTGCAGCAGCAAAACATTATAGCCAGCCTCATGCCCCTGCTTTACCCTTGGCAGGTGAGGGCACTGGGCCTGGTGGCTGTGTTGACTGTGTAGGGTTGCTAAGAGGTTAGACAAGTGCTTCTCACCTGGTAGGGGGAATACCATGACCACTAAGGTGGGGCAGGGGATGGCTGCTTTTCTGGCACGTGGTAGTACCCGGGCAAAGCTAAAGTATAATTACTCTCCCACTTTCATTTCCAGTGGGAAGATCTTGGCTTTACGCCCACTTTATGGAACGGGGAGACTTCCTGCGGCCATATGGCTGAGGGCAAGCAAAATCCGGGGGCAACTGAATTCCAAGCCTCCAGGCTTGGGCCTGCACGTAGGATGCCTGCCAAATGATTTGGAAACATCTGAAGCCCCAGGTGGGGGTGGAGGATGTTTGCCGGTAGTAGGGCCATATCACGGTTCTTAAATGACTCACGGATTTGGAATTGATTTGGCTTGGAACATGAAAAATTTTGCTTAAAAAAAACCAAAAAAACTTCTCAACCTTTTTTTAGACTCAAGTCTCCACCTCGAGAAATGTCAGTTCTTTGCTGACATCATTGGCAATCCCTCAATTCAAGGATGATCCCAATCACGGCTCACTGATGGGTCTTGAGGTACAATCCTTGAGGCACAGACCCGTCCGCAGAAGTTGCAGGTTTTTGCACAGGGGAGAGTAGGTCATAGGCCAGGATTTCTCCCCTTTCCTTCCTCTGCTTCTCTTCTTTACTTTGAGGGTGAGACTCATAGATTCATAGATGTAGGGTCAGAAGGGACCTTGTAGATCATCAAGTCTGACCCCCTGCCCTGGGCAGGAGAAAAAACTGGGCTCAAATGACCCCAGCCAGGTAGACATGAAGCCTCCTCTTAAACACCCCCAGGGTAGGAGCCATCACCACTTCCTTTGGAAGTTGGTTCCAGATCCTAGCCGCCCTGACTGTGAGGTAGTGCCTTCGGATGTCTAGTTTAAACCTATTCTCTAACAATTTGTGGCTGCTATTCCTTGTTACCCCGGGGGGCGCTGGGGGAACAGGGTCTCTCCCAAACCCTGCTGGTCCCCCCTGGTGAGTTTATAGATGGCCACCAGGTCCCCCCTCAGCCTTCTCTTGCGAAGGCTGAACAGGTTAAGGTCCCATAGCCTCTCTTCGTAGGGTCTGCCCTGCTGTCCCCAGATCATGCAGGTGGCCCTCCTCTGGACCCTCTCGATGCTGTCCACATGCCTCCTGAAGTGCAACGCCCAGAACTGAACACAGTATTCCAGCTGCAGCCTGACCAGTGTCGCGTAGAGGGGGAGGATCACCTCCTTGGCCCTGCTTGAGACGCACCTGTGGATGCACGGCAAGGTACAGTTAGCCCTACTGACCGTGACCTCGCATTGGCGGCCCATGTTCATCTTGGAGTCAATAATGACTCCAAGATCTCTTTCTGCCACCGGGCTCTCAAGAAGGGAGTTTCCCAGCTTATAAGTGTGCTGCTGGTTCCTACTGCCCAAGTGCAGCACCCTGCACTTGTCAGTATTGAAACCCATCCTATTTTCGTTAGCCCACCCCTGTAACCTGTCCAGGTCCTGCTGTAATCTGTCCTTCCCTACTAGCGTGCCCACCTCACCCCAAATCTTGGTATCATCAGCAAATTTAAACAGGCTGCTCTTCACCCTGTCGTCCAAGTCACTAATAAAGAAATTGAACAGTGCGGGTCCAAGGACCGAGCCCTGGAGGACTCCGCTGCCCACTTCCCCCCAGGTCAAAAAAGACCTGTCCACCACTACCCTCTGAGTACGACCCTTCAGCCAATTTGCAATCCATCTGACTGTGTAGGCATCAATGCCACAGTCACCTAGTTTTTTGATGAGAATGGGGTGGGAGACAGTGTCAAAGGCCTTGCTGAAGTCCAGAAAGACTACATCCACCGCAACACCTGTGTCCAGTGCTGTTGTGACCTGATCATAGGAGGCAATCAGGCTGGTCTGACAGGACCTGCCCCTAATGAAACCGTGCTGGCTGCCCTTGAGCATCATTTCTGCAGCTGGCCCATCACAGATGTGCTCCTTGATGATCTTCTCAAAGAGTTTCCCCAGGATTGAAGTAAGACTAATGGGCCTATAGTTGCCCAGGTCCTCCCTCTTCCCTTTTTTGAAGATGAGGACCACGTTGGCTTTCTTCAAGTCATCTGGCACCTGGCCAGAGCACCACGAGTGCTCGTAAAGCTGTGCCAGGGGCCCCGCAATGACCCCTGCCAATTCCCTGAACACCCTGGGGGTGTTGAGGGAATTGGCAGGGGTTATCGCGGGTCGAAAAACACGCTTTGCCTTGAAATGGGCAGCTGCTTGGTTGAGGTTGGGGCCCCACTGCGTCTGGGACCTCAACTGGTTTGACCTCAATCAGTTAAGTCTGATACTACATTCAACCAGGTTTATCTGGAAACTGTTTACACTTGGAAACTGTTTTATGTGCACTGAACTTCTGTGCTGTCACAGGTTTAAACCAGGTTCTGATCACTTACACCAGTTTATGTGCAACTTCTGTCCTGAGTCAATCAGCAGTCCGTTCCTCCCAGCTCTCAACATTGCCATCCATTTCCTCCAGGTCTACCTTCAACGTGTCCTTACAGCGTTTCCTCTGGCCACCGAGAGACCTCAGGCCACTCCAAAGCTGGGAAGAAAGCCCTGGTTTTGAGAGTCAGGCGTCTGCACAAAGCATCTGGTCCAGCGACACGGGTGCTTGAGGATCACTGACTCCGCGGTGGGGCTGCCATCATAAAGACAGTCCGGTTGTCCTCTACCCTCTATTGGTACGAAACCCGACGCCTTTATGTCCTCTGTTTTTCTCTTCAAGAAAAAGAAAAGGCCCTTCTCATAACTGCACTTCCCTGTCTGAGCTGTCCCAGAGAACCGTTTGTTTTCTCTTCAAGAGAAAAAGAGAGGACATAAATGTGTTGGGCTTCCCTTGACGAGAAAAAGAGAGGACATAAAGGCATGGGGTTTCTCTTGAAGAGAAAAACAGGGGACATAAAGGCGTGGGGTTTCGTGTCAACTGCGCTTCGCATCCGCAGAGCGGGGTGGACGAAGGCGTCGTCGTACACCTGGATCTTTGCCGAGATCCCCACGAGTCCAGCCGGGGATCCGCACCGATGTGCTCTTGTTGTCCCCGCAAAGAGGCTGGAGCGCTTCCCGGGCGCAGACCTCGGGGGCCGCGCGGAGAGGCCCGAGCGCCCGGCTCCTCTGGCGACGGGGGACCCCGGCTCGGGCCCGGGGGGGCGGAGGCGGCTGGGCCGGG